TTTCAGCATGTGGCTTTAGCGCCGTGCACATTCCTCCGACACGCCTGCAACAACTGCAAGGATGGAAAGGATGCTCTTCGTATCCAAAAATGTGGCCCTCGCTGGGTCTTTAATCGGAAACCGGAAACCTGAACCGAGGTAGCAACTGCATGTTGTATGGAGGGCAACTCCTACTTCTCAACACGGGTTCTCCGAGGCTTGCATACCTGGGCAACAATGACACCGATGGGGGCGGTCCTTCTTCCAAACGGTGATCTGGCTGGGCACCTCGCTGAACCGACGTAGGACATTGTACGACCATACCATTTCGCATTTCTCATGATTCGCCAAGAGGATGCCAAGCAGCTCTTTTTCAAAACGGAGCTCTCGCCTGAGTGGCAGGCCAATCGGATGCAGTCTTTCATCTCTCATGGGGACGCATCTTTTGGTGAAGAAGGTTTGCAATGGCTTGTATGTTGCAGGGGGTTAAGAAATGGGGACTTCGGGCGGAGTGGTGCATTGCAGCATCGTTGATGCATTTTGAATTTACCCTGGTCCTCCTCCGCCGTCGCTCTCGTTCCACCACCTATTCCTTTTCCTCCTCCTCCTCCTCCTCCTCCTTGTGCCCCGCAGGTTTATAAAACATCCAGGACGGGTGGGATTTAAAACTTATCGAAGCACGTTTCGTACTTACGCTTGCGCGCAACGCAAGCATTTACGCGCACCCCATCCTCCACACGCGGCCACATGCATGGAGCCACGGACACTCCAATGGGGGCACGCCGCTTCCAAGTCGTGCGCCCACCAACAGGCAACGCCCGCGGCGACACCAACTGAGGCACCAACACTCCAGGCGCACGGGGCCCCTTCTCGTCACCCGCTCCCTCCTCGGCCGCCGACTTCCATTCCCGTTCCCCATTCCCCATCCCCCATCTCCCATCCCCCCTCCCCCCTCCCCTCCCCTCCCCCTGTCCCCGTCCCTTCATGTCCCTTCGCCTCTTCCCTTCCCCCCAGTCTGCAGGCACGGTCTCGGCGCGCACTCATGCATGCATGCGCGCGCTCCGATACGCACGCGCACGCAAACGCGCCCCGCCGATCACCCAAATCAGCTCCTTAGTTGGGCCTCGGAATTCCTTATGAGTGTCCGGAAGTTCAGATGTCTCACACTGGGGCCCATGCGGCCCCCCCCGGGGTGGGTTTATGGAGGAATCCGAAAGTTCCTTGCGTCAACCACATTGCTTGGAGCGGGAAGCCCAAGGGTCCAATGGCCCTACAGTGCGCGCGCAAGCTGGAGGGTCTTCAGACAATGCAGGGGGCACGGCCAGGCAGGCGGGGAAAGCCCAAGACAGCACCATGAGACTCTCCCTTTACTGCCATGACAGCACCAGTGTCCCAGAGAACCCAAGAGGATCCCGACCAAGACAACCCAACAGGACCCCCAAACAAATCCAATATGGCTCAAGGGGGGCACACGAGAGCCGCAAGAAGGACAGAAAGAGAAGCAGGAACGGTGGGTGGAAATGGGGAGGCAGGAAGAACATGGGAGAGGGAGGCGGAGGACGATGACGAGGAAAAGGAAAGACACCCCGACACGATGTGGAAGAACATACAACATGTTACTGCTCCCACTCGCCAACAACATCAATACTTGTACCCTCATGCGCCACCCTTCTACATGTCATGTGCATCCATCATGCTGCCGCTCCCTCTTGGGGGAACTATCTGAGAAGGGGGGCCGATGCTTCCACACCCGATCCCCCGCCCAAGAAGCTTGAGCCAACACCTCTCCCGAGGTACTTCCCCACCACTTTCAGCTCGCGCGACACCTGAACACTCAGCGCGACTGTGGGGGGCGGTGGGGATCCGAGGCACGAAGGGCTCGAGCCCCACGAGAGGGGCCATCCATGTTTAGGCCTGGCATGTCCCCCTACAAGCGGTTTTGAGCGAAAAATGAAAAAAATCAACAAATGCTCAAACATAGCCAAACATAGTAAACAAAAAAACGTCACCAGACCATTTATGGGCTATTTTTTAATATTCCTCCTGTAGAGGGACATGCCCGACTTAAACTTAAACGCTCAGCGCGACTGTGGAGAGCGGTGGCGATCCGAGGCACGAAGGGTTCGAGCCCCACGAGAGGGGCCCTCGATGTCCGCCCTCGATGTCCAAATAGATCATGCTCAGATATGCGCCACAACTGCCGCACGCGGCGGCCTCTCCTGCGTCTGGCGTGCGCCGCGGGGCCCCTCGGCCCTGGACATGCCCCCACACCCTCTGGGAATGGAGGGCAACTGCCGGCCTTCGGGTTGGGTAAGGGTGGTTGTAAATGGGGCTCAGGGACGCACATAAATAGATACAAATAACAGGATCCCCCATATTTCCCTACATATTTTTGGATTTTCTTCTTCCCCCCCACTTCCCATATTTTTCCATATTTTCCTGGGGATCGACGATTAATAGTGTCTGTCTGTTTTTCCCCTCCTGAGCTTGGCCAACAGAGCCCAGAAAATCGAACCGATCG